GGAAAATACCACAATCATGCAAAGAATCAGAACAACGGACGTAATGTTTAGCAGTTAATTCAACCATAGATAATGGTAATAAGGGCTTCAGATTTCACAGGTGAGGAAAACGTTTTAATTTAAAGAAAAGATTGAACAAGTGAGCAGTGGGTCAGTTATATTAGCCTAACTGTTGTTAGCCTGCTATTGACTTTGATAACATTAGCATGTGCTGCGCAGTTCGGTGTGTTTTGGTTCCGTTAGGATTAAACAACCCGCCCATCAAGTCATCAGTAGTGCAGCTGTTTAAATCAGCTAATCAACCACCGCGGAGATCAGGTGTAAACTTATTAATAATCACAATATAGACATTAAGCCTGACAACATAATGCAACAGACTGGATGTTCTGTTTTAGTGTTTTTGCTACTTTTTTGTGTGGGAAATGTTTGCTTTTTGGTGTTGATTCCCCTGATCGGTAATCTCTGCTCGTTGAGCAGTTGTTTGTTGGTTGCCATGGCAACGGGTCGTGCGAAATACCGTCATACAGAGCTAGAAAAGGCGGAATGGTTTTTACCAGAACAAGAGTGGTAGCATGAGAACAAATGAAAGTTTGATCTCTGTAATTGTTTGGTGAAAGAGGAAAATAAATCACCAAGAACAATCAATAAGTTTGGAAATTGAACCTTCTTTTGCCCATGTCGAGAAACATGACCCCAGTGCCTCAGTAGTGGCTTGGGTTTACTTNGCAGAAAATGTTTGGAAACCACTGGGGGGGTGCAGAAGAAAAAGTTTGGGAACCACTACTGTAAGCTGTTTTAGTTAGTCTCAGTTAACTACTCAAAGTTTAGCATTTTATCCAGGTTATTATTTTGAAGGTTCGCAACATCAATTATATAAAAGGGAGGTGTAGAACCCTGATGTTATTTTCCTAAAAATAATAACGTCTTACCACGCTGATGCAGTAGGAAGTTGAACAGATGGATCAGACTTGTTAGAAAACTACAAACATTTGACTAAATGTTTTCTTACTTAGCATTAGCCATTAGCCAACAAATAACTGCTTTTAAGGAGTGCTGTCGTAATTCCTCTCTGCAGGTAGTGAGTACTAAACATCTTCAGAAGTCTTTCTTGTAGCATTATAAAGGCCAAAGGACAGCTAAATTTAACACCTGCTTCTTTGTGGTGGTTTTAGTGCCGGCTGCACTTTCAATGCTTTCTGCTTGCAGTTGCAGAGACAAACAGAGCAGTATGCTTCGACCCAGTAATCAAAACCAGTAACAGATTCATTCATCCTGCACGAAGATCAATAAAGATTAAGGAAAACTGAGAAAATATCTAAGAGCAAAGAACTACAACAAATGCTGTGCTTTGGCAGATGTTCTAATCCATCACAATCTAATGTTGTTACATTGCCCACACCTGATTTGAGCTGACTAGTCTTACAGTACAGTCACATGACCTTCAAATATATCCAGTTTCATTTCTGAACGGAGACATGTAAATTCAGAGGACATAAGATGTTTCTGAGGCCAGTAGCATTGAACTCTTAAAAAGCAGAAATCTCCATCATCATAAACATTTAAATCAGCAGTAAGGCTTAACCTGATTACCTTAGGGATATAAAAACACAAGTCTCACTCTTCACAGTGCCAATAAAAAGTTTTCACCCACTTGGATGTTTCACTCTTTTTATTGCTTAAAAATCCATCACAAATTGGTCTTTTTTTTATTTATCAAGGAAATTATGAAAACGCCCTTTCACGTCAAAGTGAAATTGATTTCTATGAAATGACATTGAAGAAAAAAAAAGTAACAAAACATATGACTGCATAAGTATTCACCCCTTTAAGTCAGTCACAGACTCCAAAGTATAAAATACCCAAAGGGGGTGAATACTTTTTAGAGGCACTGTATATTTCTTACCTACATGTGAATAAAGACTAATCCTGCATGTTTGGATCATTCATTTCTGTTCCAGCAATTCTGAAGCAAATTTCCGTTCTGTTTCATCAGGATGAAGTCCTGGCCGTGTCCAGGAAGATGGTGGTACGGGTGGAGGACCTGGTGAAATGGTCACGTGCCGACCTAGCTGGGTGGAGTGGTGGCCCAGTGCCTCCAGTGGTCAAGACAAATGGCGTCCACGAACCTCCACAGAGCGGCGCAGACAACGACGGCGGTGTGCTAAGCGACAACAATGAGCTCCTGGAAGTCAAACCTGAGAGTAAAGAAAATGCAACCAAACATCCGATGAATTTCTGTAAATATATGAGCAGAAGTGTTTTCAGTCAAACCCACTTCATTCGTTTTCTAACTTTTTCTAAAATGATACAGGATATGTTTGGAGCCGCTGCAGGCAGCCAGACATGTTTTCTCCCTGGGAATTTTGTGTCCTCTAACTTTCCGTTTCTGCTGCAGGAGTTACAGAAATGTAGCAATTTATAGTTCCATGTCAGCTCCCTGTTCCTACTTTTCACCAACACATCTCAGTCTGAGAGATAACCCTGAGGTTTAAGAGCTGGAGGAAAAACTGAGTCATGCTAGCTTTAACGTGTAGCAGCTGCAAATCTCACTGCAAAGCAGAGATGTTGGAGTGAATTGAAAAAGTGTTCACACCCCTCTGTTTTTCCACATTTCTATACATTGCAACTACAAACTTACATGTATTTTGTTGGGATTTTAATAGATTGACGCAAAATAGAGACAAATTATGAAGTGGAAGAACCATAATACATCACTTTTCAAAGTGAGTTAGTTGCAGTTGACCCTTTTGTTCTTGTATCCCAAAATAAAATCTATTGCCTCCTTCAGAAATCAGCTAATTGGTAAATAAAACTAACCTGTGTGTGATTTATGGCGTTCCTTTGTAGTCTTGAAAAATCTAGAATCTGTTTCTGTTATTTAACAGTTCATATTTCCTTCTTGACTTGTTAAATAAAAACTCTGTAAATGTTTTTTTTAATCCAAAGTCTGGTCAAAAGCAAAAATGTAACTTTTTAATTTATATCTAAAATAGAGATGTGCCGATCAGGATTTTTCCTGCCGA